GGAGGAAGGAAGGAGGGAGAGAGGGGAGGAATGGAAGGAGGGAGAGAAGGAGGAAAGGAAGGAGTGGAGGGAGATGCCTGGTAGTAGGAAGGTGATGGAGTCTGTAACCATGTTGTCGTAGTTATTGATGTTGTTATTAGGAAGAAGAAGAAGAAGAAGAAGAAGAAGAAGAAGAAGAAGGTGTGGTAGAGGCAATAAGTGGTGGACACGACCTAACACTCCTGGTGGGTCGTCCTAAAACAACAGGTGAGCGGCCCGGGTGTTTGCTCACAACACCTGGCCAGCTGACGCCAAATAAGACCCCCCAAAAAATGTGACCAGTTCCAGAGATGGTGACAATGGTTGTGTGTGTGTGAGTCAGGAGAGACGAGTATAGTAATGGTGACGCTGCTTCCCTCTGTACCTAACCTAACCTAATCTAACCTAACTAACCTAATCACCTGCAACCAATCTAATCTAATCTAACCTAACCTAATCTAATCTAACCTTTAACCTAACCAACTAACTCTAACCTAACTATCCTATCTAATCTAACCTAATCTAATCTAACCTAACCTAACCTAACCCAACTTTAAGTAAAACATCATCAAGAACCTCGACCACAATTCACAATAACTAACATCATTTAACCAACAACAACAACAACAACAACAACACCAACAACAACAACAACAACAACAACACTAACAACAACAACAACAACAACAACAACAACAACAACAACAACAACAACAACAACAACAACACTTATAATTCCCCACAACTTGGTATTTAGAAACAATAAGTAATAAGGTCATAAGTGCTCAAGGCGACAGAAATTACCTCACCTGTCTACTGTGCACTTTAAGTGAAGGGGTTTTGTCAGGGGATTTTGTCTGGGGTTGGATTTTATCCGAGGGGAATTTTGTCCGGGGAATTTGTCTGGGGAAATTTGTCCACTGGATATTGTCTGGGAGTTTTGTCCGGGGGTATTGTTCAGGGTGGTTTTGTCTGGGTGATTTTGTCCGGGTGGGATTTGTCCAGGGGAATTTTGTCCAGGGTTTTTTCTGGGGTGTTTTGCCGGTTTGCCCAGGCGATATTCTGGGGCCTGTGCAGAGGATTTTGGTACAGGAGGATTTTGTTCAGCGTACTTTCTCTGGCGGATTTTGTCCGGGGGATTGAGTCGGGGTATTATCCAGGGGGTTTTGTCCAGGGGCATTCTGTCCGGACTCCTTCACCTTACTGTACACTTAACACAGGCCGCCACTACCACAGAATTAACATAATTTGGTTTATCTTCACTTTGTCTACTACCATTATGTGTGCTCTGAAAATGTCACCTATTTCCAGGTCTACAGTAACCTAACCTAACCTAACCTAACCTAACCTAACCTAACCTAACCTGACCTGACCTAACCTAACCTAACCTAACCTAATCTAACCTAACCTAACCCAACCTAACCAAACCAAAAATAAAAATAAAAAACACCCCCAAAATAAATAAAAAAAACACAATAAAACAAAATAAAACAAAAAACAACACCAAACACCTGAACAAGAAGAAGAATAAGAGTTAGTGACCAAACAACGAGGTGAGTGACACGATGCTTAAGACGACAGTTAGGTAATGGTGTCATAACTCGTGTGGGAGGTCAGGTCAGGTCATGAGTGTTGACCTTACTCGAGTGAGTTTTGGAGAGGAGGGAGAGAAGGGAGTTGGTGAGGGGAGGGGGATTTGGTGTGTGGGATGGGGAGGAGTTGGTGGGGGTCAGGGGAGGGGTGAGGTTGGCGGGGGTCAGGGGGCGGGTGAGTAGGTTAATGGTCTTCTATTCTGTCTTAAATGACTTATTGTTGTAGCTAATACTAACCTAACCTAACCTAACCTAACCTATCCTAACCTAACCTAACCTAACCTAACCTATCCTAACCTAACCTAACCTAACCTGTCTATTGCGTATAGGTAATAGGGATATTTAATTCGGGTAATATAATTGGAGAATGTAATTGGGGTGTAATTGGGACATGTTAGTTTGGATATGAAATAGGAAGGTGATGAAAGGTGTAATTGGGAGACCTCCTTTAAAATTGAGGAACTGAAGAAAGATGACGAAATTGGGACACGTATTTTGGATATGAAATGGGCATATAATTCGGGTGATGTAGTTAGAAAAAAACTGTCTGATGCATCTATGAAAACTAATTAATTTGAGAGACATAATTGAGAGAAATTACTTTGACTTGTAATTGGAGTTAGATAATTGAGATGAAAGTAGGATTTAATTGTTGACAAGTGTAATTGGAAGATGACGTCGGTAACAAATACTGTCAATGTATACAGCCTTAACAACATCAACCTAGAGAAGTCGACTTGTGAAAGGAGACCAAGGGTACTTGGAAGCCAGACCTACGGCCTGAAAACAGTGCGTTAATGTTCGAAATAAGGCAAACAGAGTATTGGTTTATATTCAGAAGTGTAAGTAATAAGAGTGCAGAGGTCTTATTGCAACTATATCTTGCGCTAGTCAGGCCGCACCTCGATTATGGTTCAGTTCGGTGCCTCTTTATAGAATGGATATCAATTCACTATAGAATGGATATCAATTCACTAGAGTCGGTGCAGCGAAGAATGACGAAAATGATTCCGGACTTAGAAACCTTCCTATCAGGATAGGTTAAAGAAACTTAACTTGCATTCCCTAGAAAGACGAAGAGTGCGGGGAGATATGATAGAAGTATTTAAGGGGTAAAGGAATCAATAAAGGAGATATAGATAAAGTTCTTATAATATCCGAGCAGGATAGGACTCGGAGCAACGGATTCAAGTTGGATAAGTTTAGGTTTAGGAGGAAATAGGAAGAAACCGGTTCACAAATAGGGTGGTGGACGAGTGGAACAAGCTAGCAACTTTGTAGTAAGTGCGGGAACTCTGGAAAGTTTCAAAAGGAGGCTAGATAGATTCATGGATGATAGAGAGTGGTAGTAACTCTCGACAGGAGCTGCCATGCACAGGCCAACCGGCCTATTGCAGACTCCTTTATTTTCTTATGTTCTTATTTGTAATAGGGTAGTTGAGAGGTTAAATTGGCATATGTAATTGGCTGAGGCTTGTGTGCGTGTGTGTGTGTGTGTGTTAGTATATGTGTTAGCGTTAATGTATGAGTGTATGTATGTATGTATGTATGTATGTATGTATGTATGTATGTATGTACGGCTAACGGCTTAATTATTCAGCCTCTATAATAACAAATCCATTAAACTCCTAATTATAATCACAACTTTTCCCCCAAGACAAACTTCCTCTTTCTAAAGTTGTTCTAGTTTGACTTTCATTCACGGGAGAAAGTTAATCGGAAAGGAAAGGAAAGATGGTTCATATAATTGCTTTCACCTGTGTAACAATAAGTAATAACAACAATAACAACGCCAACAACGTCAACAATAACCCCTGAGTACTGCCTTAATCTCTTAGAGTACTAATTTAATCTCTTGGGTACAATGACTTAACCCCTTGAGTACGATTACTTAACATATTAATATAACGAGAGAGAGAGAGAGAGAGAGAGAGAGAGAGAGAGAGAGCCCTCCTTGAAACACCTATCAACACCGACAACAAGAGAGAAAAAACTAACCCTCACTGTTATCTCCCCCAGGTAAAGTAGTTCCCCTTCTCCCCACTCTCTCACCCTCTCTCCTTCTTCACTCTCTTCCTTCCCTCTCTCACCCTCACCTCACCTCTTCAAAATTCAATATTTAACCCTACTTAAGTTAAACCTGACACCGTGACACGTATTAAGTGACCGCCAGTGATTTTTATACAGAGCCGAGCCTTGAGGAGGGTACACACACACAGCTTGATGGGTGAGGGTGAGGGGTGAGGGGGGAAGGTGAGGAAGGGTGAGGAAGGGGAGGGTGAGGGGGAAGGATGAGGGGGGAAGAGGGGAAGGGTGAGGGGAAGGGAGGGGTGGGAGGGGGGAGGGGTGGAGGGGGAAGGGTAAGAGGGTGAGGGTGAGGGGAGGGGTGAGAGGGATGGGAAGGGTGAGGGGGAAGGGTGAGAGGTAGGGGAGGAGTGGAGGGGAAAGGGTGAGGGGTGAGGGGAGGTGATCTAAGTATGTAGTACAGGGAGGTAATTTAAGTAGGGACAGGGTACACTTGACAGGGTAACTTGACAGGGTACACTTGGACAGGGGTACACTTGACAGGGTACACTTGACAGGGGGTACACTTGACAGGGTACACTTGACAGGGCACACTTGACAGGGGTACACTTGACAGGGTACACTTGACAGGGTACACTTGACAGGGTACACTTGACAGGGTACACTTGACAGGGTACACTTGACAGGGGTAACTTCAGTAGGGGACACAGAGAGCATTGTTACGGCAGGAGTCACCAAGTTAAGTTAGGTTAGGTTAGGTTAGGTTAGGTTAGGTTGGTAGGTTAGGTTGGTTAAGAGACAACAAACAATATCACAAGGCTCACTAACTCACACTCAGGAGCAGCTAAAACCTTAATCTGAACAAGACATTAATTACCTGTCGCTTAATTGGTCGGTAATTGTCCCGAGTTTACCTGTGTAGATAGTAGCTGGGCTTACCTGTTCACATTATGTGTGTGTGTGTGTGTGTGTGTGTGTGTGTGTGTGTGTGTGTGTGTGTGTGTGGGGGGGGGGGGGGGGGGGAGAGAGAGAGAGAGAGAGAGAGAGAGAGAGCACCCTAAAGTGAGGCAGGTATAAGACATGAACTTATCCTGACCTACTTTTAACGATGACTTATGGCTAATTAGTGTATATTGGCAGGTAATAATGCACCTTACAACTGACAACCCGCCCTTCTTCATATAAGCAATAAACCGAAAATCGACGAAAAATATCAAATAGTTGCCAAAATCAGGATCTTTATTACTCTTCTTCTTCTTCTTTTCCTCTCTGGACTTTCTTCCCAATTGACGAAAGAAAATAAATACCACAACGACTATTACATCTCTCTCTCTCTCTCTCTCTCTCTCTCTTCCCTTTACTCACCTCTGCCGCAGACCTCAATAAGCAACTGGAAAAAATAGAGAAAATAATAATAATTAATGTGTTAACTGGACACGGGGTCATAATCATAGGGGGAAGAGTTTGTTTACGGGAGAAGCTTAAGTGAGGGATTTAACTGAGCTATTACCTGAGAGAGAGAGAGGGGGGGGGGGGGAGAGAGAGGACATAACCAGACAATAATGGTTGCCCCTCATGTAACGAGGATGGCCGGTCCAAGGGCCACTTAGGCGTGAATTTGTTTAAGTGTAGAGTTAACGAGCTGCATGACCCAGTGTCAAGGAATAGTCCGAGAAGACCGGACAACTCGCCAACTGCACTGGCTAACCATTACCCCAGAACACGATCCGCAAATCGATTAATATCCAGGTCCCCAATTACTGCTGGGAAGACAGAGGCAAATAACGTAAAGAAACTTGCCCATAGTTTCACCATGCCCGAGGATCGAACCCAGGTCCACTCGCTTGCAAGGCGAGTATGCTAACCATTACACCACAGGTCGCCATAGATAAACAAATAATCCCCATAAAACACACACCTGTATCCTTCACCAAGCCTCTATAAACATTACCCCACAGTAAACAACTCTATAACCATAAACACCCTGACGTAAACAACATAATAAACAAAGTAGGAATTAACATTGTATTTATAAACAAGAGATTTGCATCACTTCACTATATGGTTACAGAGACAGAGATAAAGTGTGTGTGTGTGTGTGTCTGTGTGTGTGTGTGTGTGTGTGTGTGTGTGTGATTGAAGTAACTAACGTACACACGTCAGGTACAGTAAGATAGATAGATTGATAGATAGATAGATAGATAGATTATATATACAGATAGATAGATATTAAATAAATTCGTCATACAGGTTTCATGAATTCATTATTATTATTATTATTGTTGTTACCAACATCTCTATCATCATCATCATCATCATCATCATCATCATCATCATCATCATCATTAATAGCCTCAGGTGAGATACATAAAACGTAGACATGAAAAAACAAAAACCTATTGTGTTATTGAAGGCATATAGAACCTCCCTATTACTGACGAGGGGCTGCCGACGAGGGGCTGCCGACGAGGGGCTGCCGACGAGGGGCTGCCGACGGGGAATAATTTTTGGGATTTTCTTGGAACTAAACAATTATGGCTTAATATTTTTGTTTAATATAATTTAATGGTCTTTCACTGTCACCTAGTTAATATTTGCTGACTAATAACTTTACACTAAAATATATAACTAATATCAAATGACTTCTAAAAAAAATATAAATATACATATAAAATAATTCTTCTTCCCTTTAAGTATAAAATCTCAAATATAATAGCAATTTTATAATGATTATCAACAATATCTAAACCAAACATTGTAAACATTGTAACGATAACTTATTCATCTCAGACGACATTACAAACCGCTAAGGATGCCAAGCCACGTTATCGTACATCTGTAAAACGCCTATTAAAAACATCACCCCCGATTTCCTGCTCCGTGATTGGCTAATATAAACATCACCCCCGATTTCCTGCTCCGTGATTGGCTAATATAAACATCACCCCCGATTTCCTGCTCCGTGATTGGCTAATATAAACATCACCCCCGATTTCCTGCTCCGTGATTGGCTAATATAAACATCACCCCCGATTTCCTGCTCCGTGATTGGCTAATATAAACATCACCCCCGATTTCCTGCTCCGTGATTGGCTAATATCGTTTAACAGATTCATACAACGAAATCCGAGAATTTACAATGAGAAAATATAATCGTTGTGGCTAATTAATTTCCAACGTTTTTATATAATATATTTTTTGTAGCCAGGTGGACGCCAGAAGTTATTGCTAATTACCCCCCACACCTGGTGTATGTGTTGTGTTGTCACTGAGCTGAAGTTATTTCAGGTGATAGCTTATACTGAGAGAGAGAGAGAGAGAGAGAGAGAGAGAGAGAGAGAATTATAATGTGTGTGGGAGAGAGATGGAGAGAGAGATGAAAGGAGAGCGAGAGACAGAAGATGAAGAAGACACAATGACCAAAGTATTACGCATTGTGCCATGACCAATGAGAGAGACTGAAAGAGAAAGCGAAAAACAGAGAATGAAAGGAACAATGAGAGAGTTTATGACCCAACAGCACCAAGATCCCGCGGGAGACACCATTAGTAGCGCCATCGGAAGTCAACGGCGGATATTGAAACAAATTTTTTTTAAGGAAGAATAAATCTAAAGTCTTCGGAAAAACAACACGATTATTTCTCCTACACTTCTAACGCTGAAAAGAAATAAATTAAATATATTTTTTACCCCTGATAAAGAAATATATCGCCTTTACTCTATATTTATTTGTTTTTACTTTAATTAGTTTGTTTTGATATGACGTCATTGCGTTCGTGTAGTGGAGGCGCGTAATCCACATGAAGTCGGGGATTTGTTTATAATCATTCTTCAGGGAATATTAGAGGCTAGACGGTGTGTGTGTGTGTGTGTGTGTGTGTGTGTGTGTGTGTGTAATAATAATAATAATAATAATAATAATAATAATAAACGGTTTATTAATAGAGTTGCAGCAGGTGGCTAAAAATATACAGACTTACATTTGATTTAGACATAATGATATAATATGCGTTGAATACATTTTCAGGGCTGTACAGTACATAAATCAGGAGTTGTTTTATATTTTAACAATAGATGGGATGGTGCTATTCATATATATATCGGTGCGGGCTCTTATGGGCTGAATTTTGTTGTAGTGGCGGACTGAGCGAGGTGGATGGGGGGCTGCCAGTGGCAGGAGGTGGCGATGACGAGGGTGGTGCATTAGTTGGCTGCCAAACCTTTCCAGTGCTTGGTGTGTGTGTGTGTGGGGACAGAAGAACAAACACACACACACCTACTACCACACACACACACACACACACACACACACACACACACACACACACACACACACACACAAATCCAAATGCGCAGTACATTTACAAAAAGAATAGTATTAAGTAAATAAGTAAATAAATAAATAAATAAAAATAAAAACACACGGCATTGCTCACACACGTCTGACAGGCGAGGAAGAAGAAGAAGAAGAAGAAGAAGAAGAAGAAGAAGAAGAAGAAGAACAAGAAGAAGAAGAAGAAGAAGTGTCGTTGTGAATCCTCTGAAGCTGCGGGAAGAGAGACGACGACAATGGTGTTCTTAGAATGATGCCTCGATAACACCAGCCAGCCACCAGCAGCCACCAGCAGCCACCAGATGCTTGTGTCTTTATTATTGTGTTCCCATGAAGAGAGAGAGAGAGAGAGAGAGAGAGAGAGGCGCGTCAATAGCCAGCAACAGTACGATGGTTTCTATACCCGGAATTATCGTCCCTTGTGAGAGTAAACGATTGACGTCATACGGTATTACCTGTTGGTTCCTGGTGCTTACAGGATTATAGATAGATAGATAGATAGATAGATAGATAGATAGATAGATAGACCTGAAGATTAGCCCACCTACCCCACAAGCTTATTTCACCTGATAATTAAATATCCTATTCCTTTCTGGGTGTTAGGTTAGGTTATGCTAGGTTAGGCTATGCTAGGTTAGGTTAGGTTATGCTATGCTAGGTTATGCTAGGTTAGGCTATGCTAGGTTAGGTTAGGTTATGCTATGCTAGGTTAGGTCAGGTTAGGCTATGCTAGGTTAGGTTAGGTTAGGCTATGCTAGGTTAGGTTAGGCTATGCTAGATAAGGTTAGGTTAGGCTATGCTATGCTAGGTTAGGTTAGGCTATGCTAGATTAGGTTAGGTTAGGCTATGCTAGGTTAGGTTAGGCTATGCTATGCTAGGTTAGGTTAGGTTAAGGTCACTAATCTTCAGGTGACCGCATTTTCGACTTAAACAACGTCGCCTTTCTCAACACGGAACAAAGTCACTGGTATTATCCTGTAAGGTCGTATAATCTGGCCTAACACAACCCAGCTCTTGGGAGAGACACGAGTACTGCCCAAATACTGCCTTCATGTTGCCAGTGTGTGTGTGTGTGTGTGTGTGTGTGTCTGTGTGTGTGTGTGTGTGTGTGTGTGTGTGTGTGTGTGTGTGTGTGTGTGTGTGTGTGTCTGTGTGTGTGTGTGTGATATTGATAATGTGTGTGTGTCTTTTATCAACACTATTATCATGATTGTATGAATCTCTCTCTCTCTCTCCTCTCTCTCTCTCTCTCTCTCAGAATCAGAATAAATCAGAACACAGTCGTCCTAAGTAAACCGGCTTTGAGAGATGGCTGCATAAATTCCCTCCTCTCCTCTTCCTCCCTCTACCCTCTTCCCCCCCTCCACTTCCCTCCCCTCTTTCCTTCCTTCCTCCTCCCTCGTGATGGCCACTAATGCTCTTTGTCTTTGGAACTTAGGAATGATTCTAAAAGCTGTTGACAATGATGGCTCTCTCTCTCTCTCTCTCTCTCTCTCTCTCTCTCTCTCTCTCTCTCTCTCTCTCTCTCTTTGTCTGCGTCCTGGGTGAATTGCCTTGAGGGAGATGGTGTGGGGAGGAGGCGTAAGGGAAGGAATGTGTGTGTGTGTGTGTGTGTGTGTGTGTGTGTGTGTGTGTGTGTGTGTGTGTGTGTGAGTGTGTGTGTGTGAGAGAGAGAGCAATACACCACAGTCCTACCCACCTACACTACAAATGACCCCCCAGCACAGTACTGGGTGCCAGGTGCCAAGTGCCAGGAAGCAGGTGCCAGGTGGCCGTCATCCCTCAGTACCAGAACAATAAACCTCTCCTCTGTGTGACGTCACGGGTGTAAACACACTTTGAAGTCTATTATGAAAAACGAAAACACAGGAAAACCCTCATTAACCTGGATTACTACTCTCAGGTGACCCGTATATAAAAATGAGGCATATATTATTATTTTTTTGTCTCAGTGTTACTACGAGCTACTAAAAGTACTTGTAGATACTAGTATTTTATGTGTCAAATTTAAAGGCGTTTTGAGAAAGTTTGTATAAAAGTATTGGCACTGT